CAACGTATCTCGAAAAGATGTTGACCAGAAGCAAACAAATCATTCCTCATGATTTGTTTTCATTTATTAATAAACTCAATTTGAAGGTGTTCTTCAAAAACTGCGCTAATAAATGAGCGCCATCAGTTCTATAGCTCTTTCCCTTTTTTGAGTTCGATTAACACTCACATGGACAGTTTGATTAGGACATATCCAGTGCAAAAATCATATATTTATTCTGTTTGCGCTCGCTTCTTGGTATGATTCTTGGCGTGTGTCGTTAAACTGGCCTTTCATCTTCACAATAGCGGTGATTTGGTGGTATTTATATGGCGGAAGACGTCAAATAATGAAGGTGGGGGCAACCCTTCGGGTCTATTCCATTAACAGGGAGTATTGCCGTGAATTCTTCAAATTCGTTTTGCATGGTGGACGGATTTTGAACTGGATAGTGCAAAAAAAAACAGCTGTGAGGCCAGAGGTGAGGAATTTGAATGAGTACGCCTTGTGGAGGGAGAACTTGGGAAAACCGAGAATCCCTCACGAAAAAATCAGAGTCTCCCTTCTTTTGAACGGCTTGGTTCTAAATGTAGTTCAGTCATAAAGGATTGTACCAAAAAAATGCTTGTCGGTGTTTCAAAAGCATTGGACGCTATGCAACGCAATCCCTCCAGTCCTCTGTGGAATAGAACCAAATACTTTGCGAAGGTAAGTAGAGTGAGTGGAACGAAAGGACTGAATGCAATTTGCCTTCACTTCCTCATCGTCATGAATAACCCGAAGGAGATTGCAGGACAACGGTAAACCTCTCGTCACAGTGCTTGTGAACGTCTAGTATCGAGCGAACAGGGAGCAGAGAGAGTTTTGAGTCCTATTTTACAATTAGGTCGCGCAATCTGAAAGCATGATCTTCTTCACCTGCGCTTTTACAACTCGAGGAGTAGTCAAGCTTAAACAAAGGAAAGGGAAGAAAGGGATTTGAGCACAGATTTTCTAAAGTACTTCTTCACGGCCTGAAACTCTCCCACTTGCGCGTTATATCTCCTATCTTCCTCCAGCGCGGATCATTCTTTACCTTCACCTGTGGAATAGAAGGTGAAAAACATTTTTTTCCATAGTAGGTCTGATTTTTCGTGGGCATCGACAGGACTGTAGACAGACAAAGCGATCAAAAAAGCTCATCAAAGTGTTTTCAAGGCAGTCCAAGCGTTCCACAACCTCTTTGTTGATTTACTGGTACGAAACTGACTGCATGAGCGAAAAATATTGACCTGTGTGACCTTGCTTTGCTGTGCTTTCTATTACAATACGTAGGGCAGGCCACATTTCAGCGAAATGACGACTATAAATGGAGTCGAAAGCGCGGCGTACCCAGAAAAGAACTTCAGCCACAAGTGCGTTAGAAGAGGTCAATCAATTAAGGCACATTTCAGAGAAATGACGACGTGATAATGAAGTCGAAAAAAAAAAAAAAAAAAAGCGCGGTACCCAGAAGAAGAGCCATTTCAGCCACAAGTGCGTTAGAAGAGGTCAATCAAATTACATAGGCTTCTCCCAGAAATTTCAGGAAATATCCTTCTTCTAAGCTAAATGGTCAGCTGAATGAGTTCCATGTGGCAAGTGCATTATGGAAGAACTCTACCAGTGCTCCTCAAAGGGAATCAATCCTGTTTGCTGTTCTAAGACCGTTTGCACTTTTTATCTGCAGGCAAGTCTCTTTGAACTTGACCGATTCGATTTATGTGCTCAGATGATCGCAAAGTAAAAGCAAGGAAAGGGGGCTAACTTTACGACTCGCAAGTAACTGAATGTTGTAGCCCGCTTTAAGGAAAATATGTAAATCGGGCCGCTCATAATGCGAATGTAGCGTCATAGCTGCAACCAGTCCAGCACAGCTGTGCATAGTACATTTTAGTTTCTGAGCTCAATTCCAGACTTCTCCAGCCCTTTAGGACCTAGAGAATTTGGGCAACATTCCCGAACAACAAAGACATTTAATGTTTTCGAGCCCAGCACTGACCATAAAGCTGTGCTGGTAACTATTCTCCTTACGTTGACAGCTTAGTCCATTTCTTGATTGCGCAATATTGGGACAGCAGCTCACAAACTAGCGAATGCCTAATGGAAAGCAGACAGCTTTCGCTGGTACAGGTGAAATTTTGTCTACTTAATTTATTTATTTATTTGATTTTTATTTCACTCTTCCTTTTATTTAAAGTGCGTTACTCTTGCTCCGCCTTTTCAAATAAAAAGCGAGACGGTTGTTGATTGCCTTTCACATCAAAACCAGCAATAATTATGCCAAAACTTGAACATTCGCCAAATGAAGCCATGAAAATAACACAGAAGTGGTTCCTTCCAGATGGTCTCGATGGGGAACAGCTCGAATTAGTGCACATTTCTGCAAAAAAAGGGTGATGCTTGCTGAAGGGGTTGAAACTGGCTTCAAGGCACATTTTGCTCCGAACCATAGGTTAGTATTTATTGAAAACTCCTGAAAGCTTGATTCTATAGTACCATTGCAAGCCTGAGGGAACGCCTAGCTTTTCCTGATCCTTGCCTATAAAGGCTCAATTTACCCACCACAGATCCGACGTTTCAATTTTTGCTAAGTGTCTTTGGTATTTGAGAGTGTAAAGGCAATGAGGCGAAATCGGTGGCGACGGGGTGATGCCATCCGGCGCTGTGGTTGGTGCAATATTTACTTATTTTATTTAGGTTCTATACTCTCCAAAGAAAAAAAAAAAAAAAAAAAAAACACGGATGCCCACAAATCCATAAAAGCACAACAGAGAAAATGTAATGGAACGCTTGAATATTTCACTACGGTATTCAATAAAAGTTCATAAGAAGTTATTTAGTGCTCCAGATTACGAATATGATATATTGATTGTCGCTGCCAGTATCGTTTATGACGATAGCTTAATGTCAAACAGTTCTCAAATAGCGCAGAACTCATACCAGGTGGCTCTGGCAAAGTAACCTATAATGATCGTAATGAGGCCATCGATTTACCCCTTGCATTTTACCTCGGTAAGAGCTCAGATGAAAATAGTTGTGTAGGCTAAAACTTGAAACAAAGCAAAGAGCCAAAAAATTAATGTTAGATTTGCAACATTGGCCGTCAAGAACCCTTAATTTGTGGCCCCACTTTGATCTCGTGTTAGCGCTAATAATAGTGCAATAGGGCGATATGTGTCAGGTGCAGCATGAATCTCTTCTGGTAAGTCGAAGGTGGTACCTACTGTAACAAAATAACCGCAATCCCTCCGTCGTTCTTTGCACTATTTCAAGTCAAATCCCCAGGTTGTTGAATGAAATATTGATGTTTGAAAATCAAATAAAGGGGAGGGAAGAGGAAGTGGTGCAACAGGTTTTGTCGTTCACTGAAACCCCAATTTCTGTTGGATGAGGAAGCTCCACGATGGGTGCAGACGCCGAAGGGGAATATTACAATTTCTGAGGATGGGGGTTTTCTTCCTTGCAAAAATTAGCATTACTCCAGGCAGCACAGACCATCGCACCACATGATTCAACCTCCACCTTCCCACAACCACTACGCGGATTGACCGGCAAAACTTAGGCGTAATGAGCAGCCAATACCTCAGAGTGCAACAATTTATCCCCAGTATTCTCCTACCTCTGAGCACAGCACCTCCCACTTGCCAAGTCACAATCTGCTCAGAATTATTTTTGTGAAAGTAGTGGACTAATGACGCCCTTTACGGGTCTGGTAGCGGGTTGAGTTACATTTTCGAGTTCCGCCCTAGTGGTTTAGCGTCACATCTGTGATAGTGTCTGTGTTTGGCAAAAACGCTTTTGGAGACTGTAAGTTGCAGGTTGTGGCGAAGTGCTGTGGCGCGATTCATTGGAAACACGGAATGCCCGTGCAGGGTAAACACGAAACGATTGAGGTGCCAGCAAAAACGACGTCGATCAACAAAGCAAACATCGGCGTGTGTGTGTCGCCAACACGCTCTCACATACACACATGGTCGCTTCACAACGCATTTATGTACAGAATTGCAAAATCGAAACGAGGCCAAATCGGGGCAGACCGGCGACCGGCTGGGCCGACGCGACAACTTCAATCATCTCGTGGCGGTTTGCGTTGACAAAAGTCAAGTGGAACGGTCTGCGGGAACATCGACGGCTCGAGCGATTGAACGGCGGCCGCGGTGGTGGCGAACGCGTCCGGCGGCAGCATACCCGAAAACGGGAACTGAATGGGCACTGAAAAAAGAAGGTAAATTAGTGGCCTCTCCTGCAACTACGAAACAAGTCCTGACCATTGGTGGTCGACTCTAATGGAGCCAAAAGGTCTGGGAAATTGCTTTAGCAGTGATATATAAATGTATGTACCCAGTTGTAGATGGAAATGGTGCAGTGACTAATAGCGCCGCTAACTACAGGCAGGATCCGGGGATCGAATTCTCGCACAGTGACTAACAGCGCCGCTTACTACACGCATGGTCGGGGACCAAATTCTGGATATCACCCAGTCTAGATCAACCATCAACCTTCAAGTTCAGTTCATTGATACCAAACTGGCCTGGGTCACGCATTTATACAGTAAATGAAGAGCGCATTCCGAAAAAATGCCGAATGGTTCGGTTGTCCTGCATCAGTGAGCCCCGAGCAATGTTGTACTTTGGGAACAGGTCTTGTACTACGGAATTGCGTCCTTGCATGTACATAAAGCAAAAACGGCGCCAGTCTGAATAGCTAGTCAGACTCGATTTGCCAACCGTTCAGCATGTACGGGTTCAGGGACCCATGGAGCTCCTGAACCCTTGAGGTTTGAAGGCACATTCCGCGATTGAACAAGTATGTGGTATAGGGTCCAGGTTATTGCACTGATTGGTTCACTACCCGCAATGAAAGGAAGCATAAAATAACTCTTCAGAACCTCGAAATCAACCACATGCTGTAAGCTGGCTGCGATGACAGTCTGCCTATAGCAATCATTTGGTTTTGGGGTACAACTAACCAATGACAGCCCCATGTGGGCGGGCTTTGCGTCCCGCCCACATGGAACTGTCATTGGTTGGCCGCATATCTTCACTCATTGGTTGGCCCCATCTCCTCACTGAATCTTTATTGTACTGTATCAACAGCGAAAGATTACCAGTCAGATTCCTGCAGGGGTGGCGTGCAAACTCCACCCATAAGATTAGCGCGCGATATGGTTTTGCTCTGCTTCATTACTGATAGATCACTTACCAAAATTACGTTCATTAGTGGGTGGAATAACCCACGCCTATTCACTTGCGGAAAGTACCGTAATGGATTTGGTAAACAGTACGTATGTAGGTAGATGCATCCCTTCCCAGATTCCCCAGATTTTGAAGAAGTTATGAAAGTACAAAAGTTGGCAAGGTTAGTCACTCCCGTCTGCCCATTCAAGAGGTCATGGAGATGGGCTCCATTGTGAGTTCTTGAACTTGTCCTTTTAAAGAATATAAGTAGAACTTTGAGAGTATGAACTTTCAATGGATTTTTAAAAAGAGCAAAAGTAGGACTCAAATTGGGGTCGAACCGGCGACCTCTTGCCTGACCAGGGAAACATTCAACTTCCCATGGAACTTTGAGATGAGACCCAGATATATCGATAGAGCTTCAAACGCTGATTACAAATATGAAAACTAAAACTGCAAAATGAACCTGCCAAGGAAGTTGTGAGCAGTCAAAGTTGGCTGAAAAGCGTAACGCGTTGTGCTAAGCCTCCGCCGGGCTTTCAAAGTCTCCGTGGAGTAGTGGTAATGCTCTCGTAATTTCGCACTCTATCGGGAAGAGAGGTTATGATCTACCGGGTAAAGAGTAAGGGCACTACCACTACTCCGCGGCGACTCTGAAGCCAAAGTTCCAGCCGGATTATATGCAACGCTTTACTTTAGCCAACTTTGACTGCTCACAACTTCCTTGGCAGGTTCATTTTGCAGTTTTAGTTTCCATATTTGTAATCAGCGTTTGAAGCTCTATCGATATATCTGGGTCTCATCTCAAAGTTCCATGGGAAGTTGAATGCGGTAATGGCCACCACCCCCTTTCCGGGTCCATAACCTTTTCAGAATCGTTTCACACATGTGAAAACAGATTTGGACTCCCTGTCTCGAGGTACATACATACATAAATATGTCTCTCATTCTAAATAGCTGTACTGATCAATTGAGCTTCCCGGCGCTATCGCAAGATACATACATGGACGTTCTCTAGGGCTAAGCCTACATACGAGGAACAAGAACTTCGGGGAATATGAAAGTTGCCCCTCAGCACTTCCGTTTCTTCCACTCCCATCTCGGTCTTTAGTCCGTTGTGAGCACGAACAGGAGGTGTTGTAAGTTGAGCTTCTCAAATGCCTTGCGCATAACAAGGCCCCCATACTTGCGATAGCGCCAACTTCGCTTGTAAGAAGATTTGAGCATAACCTCCATTGGCTCTTTTGTGAACTATCACTTTTTTATCACGTTGCTGATTATCTTTCACGCGAAAGTTGTGCAATCCTATTCGACTAACCTACCAGGATGAGGTGGAATGTTTCCTACAATGTTCAACCAGCCGTTTCCGCCTTCTCAAAGTAGAGTTAAATTGCTTTCTCCTAGTTGTAGAGGTTACTCAGCACTTTCTACAAGAACTTACTCGCAAAGTAATCACCCAAGCTGTACAGTTGACATTTCGGATTCCCGCCGTAACGAGCTGCTTAACTCTACTTTTACTTTTTCGCATTCAAGATTTATTTTGTATCTACAATTTTTCCTTGCAATGAGTTAAGTTGTTTACCTCCAGCGAAACGCATCATATTTCTCTGATAGAAGAGTGGATTGAAGATTGGCATTGGAAACGGTGGAGTTCGGAAGATTTGAGTTGGGAAAGGGTTGAGTGGCGGTGAGGAGGATGAACTCTGAAATAAGAGCGTTTGAGTGTGATCAGCTGAGTTTGACGAAGACTCCAGCAGGTCAGCAACCGTCCATTAAAACTTCCTTAATGAGGAGTTATGTGATTTTTGGACGGGTTTTTGGATGGTTTGTAAACATTGATAGAAAAAGAAAAAAAATAAATAAGAAGAACAAAAATCGCTTGAATGGTTGTAGATGTGTACGATTGGCAAATTCTACTTCCACTACCCCTCAGTGTCAATTTTGCAGGGCTGTTTGGTGGTGGGGTGAGGAAGGGAGGGGAAGTTGATTTGTGGTAGGTGATGGCAGGTTGAAGGACAGTATCGACCGTTGGAAGGGATCGAATGTGGAGACCTTTTTTGGAAGGCGAATCGTGTCATTTTTGAAATCAGCACAACGGACGATTGACCCTGGAACTCCAGCCAGCTCACCTGTTCATTTCTTGGGGGACTTGACGGAGAGCTGCGATTAGCGTCCATTGGTTCCATGTGCTTCATATCTGCATGAGGCTCGTCACTTGTTGAACTGTCTGAAATGAATTCATCGAATCTTCGAATTAATCGGCCTTAGTTAGACCCTATTTTAGCAGTACCGAAAGCCTTATCTTTAAAGTCATGCTTCTTCGGAACGGTTTTTTGCATACGCTAGCCGTCTGCTCGACCCTAAGACCCTAGATGAAACATGACCATATGTTTCATCTACTCTGAGCTTCGCCTGAGTAGCTCCTCTAAAGACCGCAAGACGCTTGAAGAGATTGACCTTATTGCTTGCTTCCGTGGTGACAAGTTGTTGCCGTGAGTGACAACTTTTTCAATTACCTGCCGAAAACGGATTTGCCTCGGCTTAGTGAAAGTAGTTGATTTGCTGTAAGGACAGAACAAACCCCATAATGAATCAGGTTTCCTGCCAGAAGATTAGGTGTTCTCGAAGATGTCGTGCGCTTCTTCTCCTAAGTAATTTTGTGGTATCCAGATGGCTTCTCAGAGAAAAGTATGGCCCTCCTGTGTTTTGCAAGGCACACACATCGGACCAACATCATCGCGTGTGCCCCAAATATAATGCAAGAATCCGATTCTAAGAAGTAAGCGCGATCCTGGAGACTCCAAAAGGGTAAAGTGGTGGCGAATGAATATCAAACTTCAGATTAACATGGCACTGAAATCTGACATCGTAAATTGGCTTTTTTTTGCTTTTTTAGGGACAACTGAAATATTCTCAGAAGCTTTTTTTACCAGAGTGGTGATCAATCACACCTGAGAACAAACTGCCTTTTTACGAAATCTCTGTCGAAATGCAAAGTTGCCACTCTACTCAGGTTATTCTGGTTATTAGGGTGTGGCAGCCACTATGACCATTATGACTCAACTCGGGAGTTGCCACGAAAATCAACTGTTGATTGAAGACCTGTGTAAAACTGGACCGTGACAAATGACACTTCTTTCAAGGACCAAGTCTCTGAATCTTGGCAAGGCTGGTCAAGCGCTACTTTTCGAGGTCACTAATTGTTGCTGGAGTCATTCAGAAGGCTACAAAGTGATCCTCATTTTATCAAATGTTCTTTTTTTAAGTTCAACTGTAGTTTTTTCTTCGCTTGAAGGGGGCGTTGAAGTTTGAAAAACTTGTTCAAAAGTATCCACATCAGTCTTATTATTAGTAGGCATAGCGCATACTTCATCACTATCGAACATGCTAAGTTGCCCAACCCATAGGAGATCAATTTGTTCTCGCATGGTAAGGGAATAAAAAAAGGAAAATGATCACCGGCACTTGAGAATCCGGGCCAAGCTCTAATCAACCTTGGTGCAGCAGATTGGGATCAGCCGTGCATAGAATGAATGACCTTCAGGCATCCCAGAGGAACGATCAATACTCACAGTTCCTTTATTATTTTATTGAAACTAATTTTATTGTCATTTAGGACCTATTCAAAGTCAACATGGCTACGAGCAGTTCGAAGTGTTCCGCTTGTTCCCAGAGTGAGCCACAGTCGAGCATTCCTCGATGGCTGGGGGTGGGTCGGGTGGGTTTATGGGTGAACTTGGCAGGCGGTGACTTATTGAGGACGCAACTGGTGGGTTGAATGAGAAATTTTCGCGGGGTTTTAGGATTTTCATGAGGAATTAGTAGACTTTGGTTGCTAAGTAATAAAGGATAAAGCATTTGCCGTTGATCAATCCCTTTTTGGGATGCGGCACGCATTCTACTTCCATTTGTACATTCGTAGTGGCGTTTGAATGCGATGTGGCCTATACAATGACTTGCGGGGGCCAGCCGATGTACAAGTCAGTGTTTTTATCCTCCCAGACAAGTCTGGTACCAATTAACCGACCCCGGAGGGATGGAAGGCTTGGTTGGCCCGGGCGACTCACGACCCAGGATTTGATCCCCGGACCGCTCGCGTGGTAAGCGTGCCACTTGCCACTACACCACTTCCGCCCCTAAGGTATAGCATACATTATACGAAAAATTATGCATGCCCGTCCATCAACGGACATATGTTTTCAGAATAAGAAGCTGTTGCATCAGCTGGGATGAAAGATCAGGCGAAGGTCGGAGTAAGCCGGTAGGACGGGGCGGTAATTGCTGGTTTTTTTTCTGGAGCTCTAATTATAGATTCGTATGTAAAGCTGGGAGAGGGTCCTGTTTGCGACGCGATTTCCTTGGCACTTGACTCGATAGGCTTGTTTTCGTAGCGGAGCCGTAAAATGACTTTTTTCCCATCTAGTTGCTCAAAATACACGGGTTAGGCCGTGGAGCGGCACGAGCCAAGGGTCACCGGTCGGAGTAGACCAGGGAGGTCGGTGAGTGTGGAGCTCTAATTGTGGGTCGAATTCGAAAAGTGGGGTGAAGAGGGCGCAGTGGACCAACTGGTTTCCGGCACGTGTCTCGTCCTAGCCGTGTTTTCATGAGAAGGTAAAAAAACCTATTTGCCCCATCTACTGCTCAAAATAAATGGCTCTCAAGTTGTGGGCGCGTGTGCGACGATAATCCCCACGCAGCTGTCCAGATCACTCAAATCGTATGCTTTGCTCATAATTGCATTGCGCAATGTTATTAAACGATTATCAACAAGCACCTTATAATGCCCTACTGACCTCAACTCGAACTTCCACCCACTCGCCACTAAATGGCCGGCGCCCACTGGTCAGTGCATAACAAGCTGGCGCCCACCGCAAACGCGATAAATAATCGCTCGTCGTGCTTCACTGCCTTACTTCGTACGGTCGAGGGTGATATCGATTATCGAGATGAGCGTAGTATAGTTTTCGCAGATATTGGTGGTCAAGGAGCAAACAGGTTTAGCCAGCGAGGGTGGGTTGAGTGCCACGGGAGGGGAGCATAGCGGTCCATGGCGGAAGCTAAGGGTCAACGCGGTTAGACCACGTGCGGCCTCGTGGCCTTATGATGACGGTATTCCGCCGCTAACGCGGACAAGGCTGCGGCGGTATTTGTTGCAGTTTGTGGAGCGCCTTTGTATATGTTTCTCATTTAGGAGCAGATTTATCAGTTGAGAAGTTATAGTTCAAGAGCGTTTGGCGACTGGGAATCCGTTCTCATAGCTTTGAACTATTGCGATCTGAGTATTTCTAGTCGAGACTTCCAGAGATTATCGCTAGTCGATGTTATTTGGTGGAAAGCGGTTTTATCAAGGAAATGAGCTTCTATTTTAGAAATGTTGGGTTTATGGGGGCAGCCACCTGCCCCAAAATTTAGAATAAAGCATAGACATTGTCGTTATTGTTGTCTATTGGGCGTCAACAGCGATCGCACTATTGTTCAGTGGGTTAGTAGAGGAGTCCTCTAGCAAATTATGTAGGCTGGAGTGACGTACAGGGATTGCAGGATCTGTTGTTTTTTGTCGTGTTCACGCGCTCTGAATGATGGTTCAGAAGTATGAGTGGTCATGTTACGCTGGAGTAAACGTTGTGGACAACAGCAGAGGTGCTGATTGTTAAACTTTACATAAGCAGGGGAAGGAACACAGTGGGGGGATAGGATGTCGAGCTTGTACTTGAAGAACTTCTTGAAGGAAGTATCGCAGGAGTGTTTTGATTGCTAGTATTGAACAATGGTATAGTGTTAGCCGTGTTTTGCTTGTGGCCGTTGTCGCCGATGGCGGAGCCTGTTATCGCGATTGGGGTGGCTGCAGTGTATGATTTTTTGATAATTCGAGCGCAGTCGCTAGGGGGGTAGGCGGAATTTAAAGCGGCAACAGAGCTTTCTGTAAGGCAGACAATTCTCTTTTCAAACGAACGAAGATATGAAAATTTGGAACCTTAGCACAAAATTTCCTGTTGAAATAAAAACGACACTACTTTCGGGGCAACCTAATGAAATCCGATATTTTTTCCTGAGGGCGGAAGTGGTGTAGTGGCAAGTGGCACGCTTACCACGCGAGCGGTCCGGGGATCAAATCCTGGGTCGTGAGTCGCCCGGGCCAACCAAGCCTTCCATCCCTCCGGGGTCGGTTAATTGGTACCTTGTACATCGGCTGGCCCCCGCAAGTCATTGTATAGGCCACATCGCATTCAAACGCCACTACGAATGTACAAATGGAAGTAGAATGCGTGCCGCATCCCAAAAAGGGATTGATCAACGGCAAATGCTTTATCCTTTATCCTTTATTTTTTTCCTGATTTCGTGTCTTTTCCCATAGTTTCACATTGCTGAATTTCAATGCCCAATGAGAGGAACAAAGCTATAACTTCCATGAATACCCGATTTGGAGGACGACTTGCGAGATCTGGGTCCCTACACATAGTACTCTTACCGTAGCTAGTTGCTAAACATTATGTTTTTTACTCCATTACGTTTTCTAGACCTCAACCTCGGCTAGAAACATATTTCTTTTATGGAAATTTTCGGCTAGTGAAAGTTGAAAGGATCAACTGACCATCATTATCAGCTGGCATGGACATTCCTGACTGTTCATTTCTGCGTAGCATATCGAGCAATTCATTGGCTGAAAATAAACTGTGCATGGAATGAAGACGATGACTGTTTAACTTTCTGACGGAAACATTCAGTGAAAAATAGAAGCTCTCAAGGAGCTCAGCCTGACGTCAAAAGGCCAGTAATGAATGAGGAAAAGATTTCGTGGAAAAATCCTATCAGCAGAAATAAAGTGGAACAATGTGTAATGTTCAAAACCACGTCTTGTAAAAGCGAAACCCTTCCATTGTGAAGGTTGGTGACAAAATAGGCAATCGCACAAAGTTCATTGTCTATGTTTGGGTGCGCCAGGCGCCCAGCTTTCGCTCAGAATCGTAATGACGTTTGCCTGTGCACTTGACTTACATACGATGACTTGCATCGATCGCCCACGTGTAGGTCAAATTTTGT